GGTGGCGAGTGGCAGGGCGAGCTGGTCTTCTACGTTACCGATAACATGAATGCACGGTCGTGGATTTCCAAGAGGCGGCCCAAGCACCCGCTCGCGAGGCACCTCATTCGCCTCATTCAGCGCCTAGAGGCTTGCCACGGGTTCAGCGCGACCGCACTGTACATCCGCACTTACCACAACGACATCGCGGACTGGCTGTCGCGGGAGGAGGCCAAGAAGGTCCACTCCGAGCTCCTACGCAAGGGGTGGACCCGCATCGAGCCGCCCGAGGAGTGGGGGAAGATGTTGGCCGAGGCGAAGGAGCACCTCCTGCGATTGCCTGGGGAGGAAGGGCCCATTGCGGAGTCAGCGCTCCGCCACCAGGCGCTGAGGACTCCGGCAGCAGTGCCGCGCAACCTCGCCCTCAAAGGGCGCCGGGGACTCGAGCTCGGGAGCCCACTGGAGACTTACGGGCGCGCCTGGGAGCAGCTAGGTGGTGAACTGACGTCAGGCTGCCCAACGGGGGTGGACTGGATCATGTGCACGCTGTCCCTGGACCCGAAGGGCTTCGAAGTCGAGAAACTCGTGTCCGCCATCACCCGGGCGAGGCCGCAGGTCGTCGTGGTCGACGCCCCTGGCAAGCTCGACCTGGCCCGCGTCGTCAAGGCGCTGCGCAAGCTGGGATACCGCACGTACGACCTGGAGGTCGTCTGCACCCACTACGGCGACATGACGGCCCGAGCTCGGAGCTTGCTCGTGGCAGGCCGGGGACCAGCAGGCGCTAGCCTGGCGGGCGTGCGCATGCCGCCGGCGCGCCGCTGCCCCCACGGGGTGAAGCACGCGCTGAAGGACAAGCTCAGCGAAGGCGATCACCACTGGCTCGACGACGAGGGAAACGTCACCTGGGACCCGGCAGCTCGAGGAGGTTCCGACCCCATGCTGCCCAAGGGCATCGGCCACATCAAGCTCGCTGGCACGAAGCACCTGGTCTGCTCGATCGACGGCCCGATCGGCACGGTTCGCTGGCCCACAGAGGGCCCGGGCGGACCGGGAGGAACGCGGGTCCATGTCCCAGGAAGCAGCGGCGGGCGCATCAGGGCGCCGTCACCTGAGGAGGTCTGGATCGTGCAGGGGGGCGACGAAGCAGCTTGGGTAAGGAAGCGGGCCCAGGGCGACACTGAGGCCACTTTGATGCGAGAAGCAGCGAGGGCCTTGCCACCCGAGACGGCGAGAGCCGTCCTGGGCGCCACTGTGGACGCGCTGTTGCAGACCACCCAGCGGGCGGGCGGCTGCCGTGACCCCGCGGAGTCGGCCGCCTGGGAGACGACCCGGCGGTGGCTCAGGGCCCGGGCACGGGGCGAGCTCCGGGCGAAGGCCGAAACCACCGAGGACGACCAGCACGCAGGGGTGCTGAGCGACGACACCCACAAGGCGAGGCGCAAGAGCCAAGGCGTCCGCTTCAAGGCAATCGAGGAGGACCTCGTGCGGGGCCCCGAGCCCCCTCCTGATGCCAAGGAGGTGGACCTGAAAACAGCCGTCAGCACGCCCAAGAAGCGGCGGAAGCGGAGCCCCAACCGGGGCAAGGTGGAGACCCAGGGGTTGGTCAAGCCGGTCGCGCTGGGCCGAGCTCGAGCCGCCATCACCCTGCCGGACCACCCGACCCTGGGAGGGGAGGACTACGGCGGGCGGATCGAGGAGCAGAAGCGCGAGGCGCTGATGCTACGGCTGTCCGAGGGGACCCGCGCCGGCTATGAGGCCGGCTGGAGACAGTGGCAGGGCTTCAGGGCAGCCCAAGGAGAGTCGCCCTGGCTGGAGGGACGCGATCGCGAGGAGCGCCACGCCAACAAGGAAGCACTGCTGGGCTTCGTCGTCGCGCCGGCCCAGGTGCTGAAGCGCACGGAAGGCGCGATCAAACAGAAGTTGTTCGCGGTGCGCTTCGCCCACCTCGTGGTCGGATACCCGGACCCTCTACTCCACCGAGGCCGCCTCTGGTCCACGCTCGCCGGCCTCCGGAGAGGCCAGGGGCCGAGCGGGCGGAAGCGGCCCGTGACACCACGCATGCTCCGGCGGTTCCAAGGTTTCTTGAGGGGCCAGACGGACCTCCCCGAGACGGACGCCGCGGTCCTGTAGGCCGCCGTGGCGGTGGCCTTCTTCTTCATGTTGAGGGCGTCAGAGTACCTGATCCAGCCTGGGAAGATATGGAGCCGAGAGCGCGTCGCGCGCGGCGTGGACATCACGGGCCGCGACGGCAACAACCAGCCCTGCACCTTCAAGGACGCGGTGGAGGTGGTGCTCCACATCACCTCTTCGAAGACGGACCAGTACAATGTGGGGTGCGTAAGGAATCAGTATCAGGCAGGCACGTCGCTGTGCCCTGTGGCTGCTCTCCGCCAGCTGGAGCAGCACTACCCGCAAAGGCTGCGGGGGAATGAGGAGGAGCTCCCGCTCTTCCGCCGGGCGAGCGGGGCACCTATCCGCCGCGAGGAGGTGCAACACTACCTGACGATCGCGGGGCTGGCCGCCGGGCCGAGGAAGGAGGAGATCGGCTCGCACAGCCTCCGCATCGGAGGCGCGACAGCGATGTACCACGCCGTGGGCGACCTGCAGCGCGTCAAGCGCTTCGGGCGCTGGGCCTCCGACAGCTTCCACGGGCACCTGTGGGAGAGCCACGAGCCCATGCGCGGCATCTCGACCGACATGGCGACAGACACGTCCGAGCTCACGGCGCCGCCGGCCCACGCGGCCGAAGGCGAGCACCGCGCAGGCAAGAGCCCGACCCCGCTCTGGCCCAGAGCGGCGCTGGCCGTGACGACGCTCGCCGCCACGGCTGGCAGCGCAGACGGCTACGTGATCAAGGTCGACCCGGCGGAGAGCCAGAACCTGCTGATCTTCGCGCTCCCGGTCGGCTTGGGGGCTTGGGCGATGACAGCGGGGGCGTTGCTGGCAGCGGTGCTGCTAGGCACTGCTTGGCAGTACAGGCAGCAGCGAAGGCGCGGATGGGCGGCCAGCGAGCGCGGCAGCAACCGCAGAGCCCGCAACCCCCGCATGCTGCGTGCAGCGCTGGTGGCGACGGCGCTCACAACGGCAGCCGGGGAGATACAGAGCCAGGAAGTGGCAGCAGTCGACAGCAGGACCCAGGGGGCCACGCTTCGCTGGGAGCCGCAGATGGGCACGGTGGCGATCGTCTTCCCAGTGGAGACGGCGCTGAAAGTGGTGGCCACGATCGCAGTGCTGCTTGCGGCGGGCATCGGTGTGCTCTGCTGCTGCTGCTGCGGGATGGCCAAGAAGAGCGAGGAGATGCCGGAGCCAGAAGCACAGCAGGCCACAGTGCAGCAGACGCCTAAGGCGCCCAAGCCTCCCAAGCAGCCGCAGAGGACGCACTGCGACGCAGGAGTGATGGGCCCGGTGCACTACAACGGCGTGAGGTACGTGCACGAGACCCAGGGCTTCCGCCGGGCCAACGAGGTGACGCGGGAGGTGGCCCCGTCAGGGCACCGCAGGTCGCCAGAATGGCCCCGGGGAGGGGAGCAGAGGCCGCATCGTGACTAAGGTGCGGGGGCTGCCGCCGGCCAGCAGCCGAGCGGGCAGCGGAGGACCGCCGCCGGCAACCGCCGTGCGGGCGGCCGCGCGGCGCCAGCTGAGTTCAGCCTGGCGCTCGCGATCAACTTCGCACTTGCGAACAAGCTGGGCGCGAGCTGCGGCCGCTGCTGCCCGTGGGCAGGGGGCCGCGCCGGCCTGGCGCCCGGCAGTGCCGTCATGGGGACGGCAGTGGCGGCTACGAGGGGGCGCCGGCGGCTGGGGCCGCCGCACAGGGCGCAGGAGGAACACCGCCGCCGGCACCCGCCGTGCGAGCGGCCGCGCGACGCAGGCTGAGCTCAGCCTGGCGCTCGCGCTCAACTTTGCGCTTGCGAGCAGCTGGGCGCGGTGCGGCGGCAGCTGGCGCCTGAGGGCAAGAGCGCCGCGCCGGCCCGGCAACCGGCAGTGCCGTCATGGGGGACGGCGGTGGCGGCTACGTGGGGGCGCCGGCGGCCAGCCCAGCCAGGGCTGCCGCCTAGGGCGCACGAAGAACCACCGCAGGCGCCGGCGGCGTGCCGCCCTGCGCCTGCGGGCCCACCTTGCTGGGCAGACGCGGCAGCGTGCCGCAGATGCCAGGACTGTTCTACGCCGATAAGGTCGGCGACTACGCACTACAGCCAGTTCGGCGTGGTGGTGCGCTCGCAAGGGGAGGGTGGCGGCGTGGCCCGCTACGCGTGGCCGAAGACGGCGCCGGCGCGTGGAGCGCAGGGCGCCGGCACAGAGGTGCAGCACTGCCCCTTTGGCAAAAAGGTCGTCGTCATCATCTGAGGCCGCGTCCGTCCCTTGTTCCTCCCCTCTTGAGCCCCCGCCTACTAGGCTCAAGAGGTTTTAGTTTACCAGTGCTGCTTGAGGGGATATCTAGGATGTTTGGTAAAACTGATGGATCTCCCCGCTTCCAGAACTGGCGCGGGCTTCCACTTGCGGTTCCCTTGCTCCTGCCCTTCCCTCTTTGCTTGCCCTTTCTCGCTCCCTCTCTCTTCACCGCCGCTTGGCGGCTCAAGCCTTTTCAAGGCCAAGCTGGCCCACCCTGGGAGCCCCGCAGGGCTCCCTACCCGCCCTGTTCTGGACTTTTACAGTGCCGCCGAGGCGCTAGGGTGCCTCGGCGGCGGCGTGGCCCGCTACGCGTGGCCGAAAACGGCGCCGGCGCGTGGAGCGCCGGGCGCCGGCACAGAGGTGCAGCACTGCCCCTTTGGCAAAAAGGTCGTCGTCATCATCTGAGGCCGCGTCCGTCCCTTGTTCCTCCCCTCTTGAGCCCCCGCCTACTAGGCTCAAGAGGTTTTAGTTTACCAGTGCTGCTTGAGGGGATATCGGGCAGGTTCTCCACCACCACCATCACCATAAGTTGGAGGGGGGAAGGAGGAGGAGGCGGAGGAGGCGGAGGAGGACACCCTCACCCTCCAACTTATGGTGGTGGTGGTGGAAAACAGGCCCACCAGTTCCCCGAGCACCACCCATCAACGAGCGGCCTTCACGCGCCTGGCTGCAGCACGTCCGCCGCGACGGAGGCGCTCGCCCTGCGGAGGGGCTCGGGCCTCAGCAACTCCTCCAGGCACGCCAACGTCGCTCCGTCGTGCACGCCGTCCATGCTCGCCATCGCCTGGGCATGGGAGCCGGCTTGGGCGAAGAACTCGAGTATCTCCCGCATGGCCTGCACAAGGTGTGCGCAACGGCGCCATGGCACCGAGAGCTCGAGCGAGCCTTGCCCGCAAGCGGTCTCCAAGAGCACCACCCCTAGGCTCCAACAATCTGCCGGCTTGGGCCAGTACGGCTCCCCCAGCGCTGTCTCCGGAGCGACGCACGGGAGAGAACCGCACATGGTCTCCCGCGTGCTGGAGTCTGGAACGTGGGCTGCCATGCTGAAGTCCACCAGGCGGCAAACGAGCCGATTCCTCGCCATCTCTACCGACACATGCCTCAGCGACACCTGCCCGTGAGTAACATCATTGGCGTGGCAGTGGGACAGAGCACTCGCGATCTGGATGGTGCAGTCCACGGCATCGTCCCTGGACAAATGGCGGCCTGGTTGAATCGACAGCACTTGCTCCATGCAGAAGTCGCCGCCATACTGGAGCACCAGGTGCACATAGGACTGGCTGTGCAGCATGCTCACGCAGCGGATGATGTGTGGGTGGTCGAGGGTGTGTGTCAGGAGGTTGAACTCCTGGTATAGTAGACGCTCTCCACCTCCTCGGCAGCGGTGCTGCTCCGCTTATTGCGAGTCTTGATCACGACATTCTCGTGCTGCCCGTTAACCGCCAACAAGACGTGCTGATGATTTGCGTACTGCTGCACCAACCGGAACTCCCCAACCCTGTCCCCAAATTCCAGCAAGCGCTTGTCTAGATCAGGAAAACCGGGCATTAGCAACTGCGGGATGGTCTCCCAGAGAAGACCGTCGTGTTCGTCCTCGATGGTCTGGAGCTCGTTGGAGGAAGGTACTCCCGCTGTCACGGTGCTCTCGTAGTATTGCACACGCAGCTGGATCGCGGCGTTCTCAGCAAGCTCCAAACGTACCTTCTGCAGCAAGCCCTCTGGGTCACCCTCCAGCTCCATCAGCACTCCGCTCGCCCCAAAGCTGTAGAGCGCATCCTGCCTCGCCATCAAGGTCCGGAGATAGCCCTTGGTCAGCCCGGCACCCAACCGATCTGGCAGCTGCACCAAGAAAACGAACGCGTCAGGGTGCGCGGCCCTCAGATAGTCCAAGAGACGCGTCAAGCCCCTCTTCTCCTTCCTTGTCTTGTACACGGACGGGATCACCACAGCCTCGTGCTGCTCCACCATCTGGTTGATGCTGCCCTGGCTCATCTCTCCATGGTCTGCTTCGGGGGCCAGCACGTTGGCTGGCAGATTCTGCGAGTTCCACGGCACCAGGGTCAAAAAACCAAAGGCCCACGAACTGGGCGCGACGCTTGAGACGTACTCCGCCACGACCTGTTCGGTCGAAATGAGGTCCATCTCCAAAAACAACCAGTGCGACTGGCTGGCAGCCAGAATGATCGACGAAGCGGCACCTTGTGACTTGAGCCCAAATATGCGGCTTGGCAGAGTGGGAAAGTCAGTTGATTGGCCTGGCCGTATTCTAGGCCACCTAACTTCGCGCATCGCACCCCGCGATGCGCGACGCCCGATTACGCATCTTCGCGCCATCGCGCCGCCCCACCATGGAGAAGGGCAGCCGCTCTGGCCCAGACCGCGACGCGCGAAGCACGTTTATCTTCGCGCTCCCGCGGGTGATCTAGGTACCAGTCGTCTCAAATCCGCCGACCCTGTCGGCGCGGGGAAGACGCTGTCGTCGTCGTCGGGTCGACGTCGTCGTAGTCACCGTCGTCGTTGTCATCGTCGTCGTCATCCTCGTCGTCGCCAGTCCGGAAGAAATGGAAAAACGTCGCCATTCATTCGTGGGTTCGAAGGAAAAACAAGCGTTTCGCTCGAGACATCCTCAAAAACAATTTCGCCGGCCCTCTTCCCGCACGTAATTTATCGCAGAATAATTTCGCCGGCCCACCTCCCGTCGAAACCGGGGGGTAAACCCACTAAAAGAGAACCCTGGGCTCGAGCCCTTTCCGGGAAAAAAGAGGGGGATGAGAGAGAATCTCTATGTATATATATATATAGAGAGAGAGAGAGAGAGAGAGAGACAGAGAGAGACAGAGAGAGAGAGAGAGAAAACAAAAAAAAAAGGAAAAGAGAGGGAGAGATAAACAGTGCACGGCAGAGGTACTTTGGCGGGCAAATGGTGAGACAAGTTCCGCCGCCAGTAGCGCTGCGGTTGCCTAGTGAGATGGCACACACGAAGAACAACGACGACGACGACGGCGACGACGACGACAACGACGACAACGACGACGACGACGATTACGGCAAGGGGGAGACCGAGGCGAGGAGGGAGATGAGAACTTCGTGTTATTGCCTTGCGGGCCTCATGGGCCGTCTTGGAGCGTCGGGAAGCCGAACAGGCGAGAACACCAAAATCTGTCAAAACCAAAAGAGAATCGAGGAAGTTTGCCTCGTGGGATTGCTCTTGGAGGCATCTTGGGACGTCTAGCAGGCCTCTTGGGTCTTAGGCGTCTTGGACCGTGCGTTCGGCGATTCGGGACCCTCTTGGACCGTTTTGGAGTCTCTTGGGGCACTCTTGGCATGTATTGAAAGCTTTTAGGGCTCTGGCCAACCCCCGGGAAGGGATCAAAGGGGAGGGACTTCCCCCCGAATTAACGACGACGTTATTCAAAGTCCTTGTACCTGAACTTCCTCGGGACTGACGGCGACGACGACGACGAAGACGACGACGACGAAGACGACGAAAACGACGAACACGACGACGACGACGACGACGAAAAAGCGTCTCAAAAACCCAGAAGGGTCGGCGGATCTCCTGCTGACCCTTGGCGTCCGGCAAAAAGAAGACGATGGCGTGGTTCCAGGCTTCGTCCGTGCCTGCTGGGTAGACGGACGCCAGGCGGATGCCCCGGAGGAGCGGAGAGGGGGGTGGAGGAGGAGGAGGAGGAGGAGGAGGAGGAGGAGGAGCGACACAACGAAGACGAGGAAGAGGAGGAAGAGGAAGAAGAGGGCAGGTATGAAAGGCGGGAGGGGGAGAAGGTAGGCGGTTGGGGAAGCGCGAGGAGAAGGGACGAGGAGGGCAACTGCCTTCGTGGCGAAGAGAGGGCCCCCCTCTCGTTTCCGCGCACGTTCGTCCCCCATGTTTGACAACACCCCACCGCAACGCCCGCGGGGTCCGAGAGTTGCGCTGAGAGGTGCACTAGACACTACAGGGAGAACTTGTTCGGCAAGCGCGAGGCCCCACATTACACATATCCGCCGTTTGGGGAGGAGGGTGGTCGATAGAAAATTTGGGTGTGATAGCGAATTGGCCCCAACTGGGAGATCGGCTTCGGCTTCGGTTCTTGTGGCGCGTGCAGGCGAAGCAAAGCTGCGCAAAGGCGACGATGCGGAAGCGCATCCAGGGCCCAATCGTGTAAAACATGTCCTGCGATTGCGTGGTTTGACACTGTGCCTGTCACGTGATCGGCCCGTGGTTGTCCCGTGGGTTGACCCGTGGGTTATCCCGTGGTGTCCAATGAATTGTTGTACCGCGGACGTCCCGCGGATTATGACGCGGTTGTCCACCCGGCTGTCCTGGGGATTATCCTGCGGGAAATGCAAATCGAGCTGCACATGGAACTGCGAACTACATGCGTATCGAACCGCAAGACGAAATTCACGTCGCCATGCTGACCAAGACGCACGTCGGAACCAACAACAACAATCAAAACGAAACTACAAATAACTTGAGATCGAACAGGCAAGAAGACGTTTGAGCTGGATTGTAAGCGGTAATGCACATCGGACGGGAAATCCAAAAGAAATGGAAATTCACTTCGGTATACAACTTTGGAATGGACTTGGAGAACAAATCGGGATGCCATGCGGCATGCAGGTCGGAATCGGAATGCACATTGAATTCAAATCCCAAGCGAAAATCCGCATGCAAACCGACATGTAATTCGGATGTGGGATCGGCATGTCATTTCAAATGTGTTCCGACCTTCGCCCTGAACTCACATCGATGTTCAAATCCTCCCACACTTGAAATTCAAACCGAAACGGGATTCAACTGCAACTGAAGTGCAAGTCGACACGCAAATCCAGACGCGGCCGAAATTCGAAAGACAAGCCGAAACGCACATCGGAATTCGATCGAAACGCAAGCCCAGCTGTAACCAGAGTGCATACAGACAGGCAAACGCACTTGAAATCGAGGTTCAAATGGGGCAGCAAGTTCACCCCCCCCCACCCCCATTGCTACCGCCCGAGGGGTGGCCAGTCAGGTATGAGTACGCTCGGAACCCAGGGGGCCCGAACATATCCAAATCCACCGCCTCCTGAATGGGACGCACAAAGACATACTAGTACTATATGTTCTCCTTGGAGGCGCGCGTCCGACCCATACATATAGCATACCCATATTGTAGTGTATCGTTTCCCGAGCGGCGTAGCCAGAAAACGCCCGCCAAGACGCATATACTATATGTACTATCGCCCGCTGGGGGGCGACGCACATGTAGTATATGTATGTTGGGGTGACGCCGACTGAAATCCAAGAAGACCGCCGACCCCCAGCGGCTGCCCCGAAGAAACCACAGTTAAGTCGGGCGTGTCCCCCTACAGAGGGATCATCGACGAAAAATAAAACATACTCCAAAACATGATGGACCCACGAACCCGGAAAGGGATATAGACATGTGGAGCATGGGCACGTTTTCACGATACCCAACGGGGCAACACCTCACGAAACATCCCACGAGACACCTCACGAAACATCCCACGAGACACCTCACGAAACATTCCGCGAGACACCTCACGAAACATTCCACGAGGCACCCCGCGAAACATTCCACGGGACACCCCACGAAACATTCCACGACGACAGGCAACCACTCAACCAAGGCGGTGTGGTCGTGCTGGGGAGTGGTCGTGCTGGGGTGTGGTCGTGCTGGGGGGTGGTCGTGCTGGGGCGTGGTCGTGCTGGGGGGGTGGTCGTGCTGGGGGGTGGTTGTGCTGGGGCGTGGTCGTGCTGGGGCGTGCTGGGGCGTGGTCGTGCTGGGGCGTGGTCGTGCTGTGTGTGTCGTGCGTGCTGGTGAGGTCGTGCTGGGGTGTGGTCGTGCTGGGGTGTGGTCTTGCTGCGTGCTGGGGTGTGGTCGTGCTGGGGTGTGGTCGTGCTGGGGTGTGGTCGTGCTGGGGTGTGGTCGTGCTGGGGGTGGTCGTGCTGGGGGTGGTCGTGCTGGGGGGTGGTCGTGCTGGGGTGTGGTCGTGCTGGGGGGTGGTCGTGCTGGGGCGTGGTCGTGCTGGGGCGTGGTCGTGCTGGGGCGTGGTCGTGCTGGGGTGTGGTCGTGCGTGCTGGGGGTGGTCGTGCTGGGCGTGTCGTGCGTGGGGGGGTGGTCGTGCTGGGGTGGTTGTGTGGGGCGTGGTCGTGCTGGGGCGTGGTCGTGCTGGGGCGTGGTCGTGCTGGGGTGTGGTCGTGCTGTGGTGGGGTCGTGCTGGGGTGTGGTCGTGCTGGGGTGTGGTCTTGCTAGGATGGTCGTGCTGGGGTGGGGTCGTGCTGGGGTGGGGTCGTGCTGGGGTGTGGTCGTGCTGGGGTGTGGTCGTGCTGGGGTGTGGTCGTGCTGGGGTGTGGTCGTGCTGGGGAGTGGTCGTGCTGGGGTGTGGTCGTGCTGGGGCGTGGTCGTGCTGGGGGGGGTCGTGCTGGGGGTGTGGTCGTGCTGGGGGTGGTCGTGCTGGGGCGTGGTCGTGCTGGGGCGTGGTCGTGCTGGGGCGTGGTCGTGCTGGGGTGTGGTCGTGCTGTGGTGAGGTCGTGCTGGGGTGTGGTCGTGCTGGGGTGTGGTCTTGCTGGGGTAGGGTCGTGCTGGGGTCGGGTCGTGCTGGGGTGTGGTCGTGCTGGGGTATGGTCGTGCTGGGGTGGGGTCGTGCTGGGGTGGGGTCGTGCTGGGGTCTGGTCGTGCTGGGGTGTGGTCGTGCTGGGGTATGGTCGTGCTAGGGTGGGGTCGTGCATTTCGCTCGAGACATCCTGCCAAAATTCCAGGAAATCGTACAAAAACAAACGAATTAGTCGAGACATCATCGAAATTCCTTCGCGCGGGGCGCTTTTCCGCGTCGCGGTCGGCTCTGCAAAACAAGCGTTTCGCTCGAGACGTCCTCGGCAAACTCTGCGGAGCAAGCGTTTCGCTCGAGACATCCTCAACACACGAAAAAGTGGCCCGCACCCTGTGATTTATCGATCGGAATTTCAAAAACAAGCGTTTCGCTCGAGACATCCTCAAACATAATTTCGCCGGCCTCCTTCGACCTCGATATTTATCAGGGAAAAATTTCGCCGGCCTCCTTCAAGTTGGGCACCGGGGACACGTTTACATACTAAAAGAGAACCCTGGGCCTTTGCCCTTTCCGGGAAATACCCCCGAATGGCAACAAAAATACAAAACATGATGGACCCACGAACCCGGAAAGGGATATAGACATGTGGAGCATGGGCACGTTTTCACGATACCCAACGGGGCAACACCTCACGAAACATCCCACGAGACACCTCACGAAACATCCCACGAGACAC